ATATCGGAATCAATAAGTATTTGAAACTTATCGCATTTCTCAAGAAACAAATCTATTGGATATAAAGCGAGAAAAATCCAAAACATTCACCGCTGAATATACCAACAAATTTCTACAAGAAGCGTCCGATGAAGCATATCTGTTGAGAACGATGAATTATACTTCATATTTAAACTCTTTGTTGTCATCAGAAAGACAGTGTATCTTTATTTTATTGCATCAATGAGTAATGTTCAATTTGATTACACAGTTTATCGTACTATGGCTCAGAGGTCTGAAGCTCAGGTTGCCACGCTGGTGGTCCAGCTTCGATTCTCGGTAGGCCCGACATTTTTTTTCTGGCTTGTCTGTTATTTCAATTTTTTTTTTGTTTCCTTTGGACATAATATATGGGATAATATGGATAAGAACTTCTTCAACTATTTCAATCGCTTATACTATCAGAGTAGTTATTTCCGAAAGCTGCGTTAGTAGAAAAAATCTTGTGTGTATTTCGAGCACAAAGTGTTATTGCCGCTCTCCAAAGATTACCGCGCTCCGCTCCGCATCGCCCGGTAACTTTCTTTGTCGAGCGGCAATCTATCACTTTGCGCTCTAAATACACAAATAGCTGCTATTAGATAGTGTCTATGGGTTACCCCGAGCAGATAATTATATGGTCCCAAAATATGTTAGGAGCAAGGGATACTGACTCATTTTACCAAAATAATTCAGATATTCGCTGATTCACTCCTTTTGTGGTATCCGAATTTTATTTATTTTGAAATAATATGAGTGAATTTTTTATAATTTCAAGTACTGATACAATACTGATGTACCCGGTGAACAACTAAGAACGGCTGTCATATCTATCATTCTTCTAACTTTGATAGTTAATATAATAGTTAATAATTTTGTAGCCATTCAGGGATGGGGCATTGCTCTCTTGAATTTGAACTGAAGAACTGCCCTTGGTCTGCTTCGTGCGCCTCCCCTATAGGTCGCGTGCACGATGACCGACCCTGGAGGCAAAATATTGGAACACAACCTCACTTTTTCATTTAGTTACAAAGGAATCAAAGGATTAAAATAGTTTTTCACAATATTATGGCAAACGAATCGTGTTTTTTGCGCAATTCATTAATTCAAGCAGGCCTTCCCATTGTGCTGTTGTACAATGCACAAAAAATGCAGCGATAGACGAAGGAATATGATTTTTCAGGTAGGTAAATCGAGGGGGTTGCCACGGAGGAAATTTCTCGTACGCTCATGAGGAAATACGGGGCAATACAGGGAAATAACTGGCAATGCCAGGAAATGTGAGGCAATGCCTGGAAATATTAGGCAATGTCGGGAAATACGAGGAAATATGGGGCAATGTCGGGAAATTCGAGGAAATATTTGGAAATACGAGGCAATGTCGGGAAATTTGGGTAATGCGAGGAAATTGCTGGAAATATTAGGCAATGCTAGGAAATATTGGGCAATGTCGGGAAATATGGGGAAATACGGGGAAATATCTGGAGGCAATACCAGGAAATAATCGTACTGGTGTGTGCGTTCGGAGATGTCGCTAAAGCCCAATTTGTTTTCGTCAGCTTCCGAGAACTCCCTGCTCTTCGCTCGGCTCTTCGGCTCGAGAACTGGCTTCAAAGGCTTCAAATCACTTGCTCCGTGTGTTGGCGTCTCGGTTGGCGTGTAACGTTCTCACAAGAGTCAAGAGTCTATCTGTCTCGCTATCTGTACTGTCTGTTATAATCGGTTATAATTATTGAGAACTGAAATCACTCGTAAAATGGTGATATACTGTACTGAAATTATCTCGGAAATTATTGTTTAGTGAGTGGTGTTCGGTACTACTTCAAGTGTTATACCTTCAAGGTAAGTAAAATACAAAATGATAAGTCATATCTTTTTGTCTACAGCGTGTCACTTCAAATGGTTTCGCTTTTTATCTCGGTTATATATTCGAAGTTATACTTGGACATACGATTCAAACCTAGATTCAAACCAAATTCGGAAAGCATTAGATAGGAACCATAATGTGAAAATTATTTCAGATACGTCATTTTGGACAGTGTCGTTCGTGGTCACCAGTTTTTCCGAATTGAAAAATTCAAATTAGTTTTTTTTTTATGTATATGTATAGTAGTGTTCGTTATGCTTTTGATCTCCGATGGTTCTTCAGGTTCTAGAAAAATACATCAACGGTTTCTAATACCACATCAAATTTAGTTGTAATTGCATAACTAATAACCAAAATAAAGAGAGGGAAAGCCGAGGGGAAAGCATTCGACGAGGCATTCGAAGTGAGACATGCTGAATAAATGAAATGTATCAATCTATTTTTTTCTCCGAGTAGATTTCACTGAATAACTTTATTAACACCTCGATTAACACGCTTATATTAGCTTGGTAAGTATATGTATATGTTTGTATTGGTTTGTTTGTTTGTAAACGGAAATCTTCGAACGTCACTTTGACACACTTCAAAACGTCCGATTGATTTGAAATTTCGCAGATTTTTGTTGGACAAAAAACAAAATGGCGGCTCCAAAATGGCGGACGAGTTTTGTATTTTTGATCCGATTCTATTCAAAATTGGTAGCTGGATGTTTCTAGGGATGTTTTTGGGGTCGGAGATTTTGATTCTTTGTCAAAATTTAGAAATTCAAGATGGCGGATCCAGTATGGCGGACGAGTTTTTTGAATTATGATCCAATTCTATTCAAAATGGGTATCTGGGGGTTTTCGGGGTCGGAGATTATGATTCTTTCGTCAAAATAGGAAATTCAAGATGGCGGATCCAATATGGCGGACGAGTTTTGTAATTTCAATTATGATCCGATTTTATTCAAAATAGGTATCTGGGGGTGTTCGAAGTTGGAGATTATGATTTTCGTGTCAAAATTGGAAATTCAAGATGGCGGATCCAATATGGCGGACGAGTTTTGTAAGTTAAATTATGATCCGATTTTATTCAAAATAGGTATCTGGAGGTGTTCGGAGTTGGAGATTATGATTCTCTTGTCAATATTGGAAATTCAAGATGGCGGATCCAATATGGCGGACGAGTTTTGTAATTATAATCCGATTCTATTCGAAATTAGTATCTGGGAGTTTTCGGGGTCGGAGATTATGATTATTTTGTCAAAATAGGAAATTCAAGATGGCGGATCCAATATGGCGGACGAGTTTTGTAATTATAATCCGATTCTATTCGAAATTGGTATCTGGGGGTTTTCGGAGTTGGAGATTATGATTCTCTTGTCAAAATTGGAAATTCAAGATGGCGGATCCAATATGGTGGACGAGTTTTGTAATTTTAATTATGATCCGATTTTATTCAAAATAGGTATCTGGAGGTGTTCGGAGTTGGAGATTATGATTCGCTTGTCAAAATTGGAAATTCAAGATGGCGGATCCAATATGGCGGACGAGTTTTGTAAATATGATCCGATTCTATTCGAAAACGGTATCTGGGGGTTTTCAGGGTCGGAGATTATGATTCTTACGTCAAAATTATATGAAAGAAACTGAAAAACACTCTTTCATAGATAGCCAAATTGAAAAGAAGTAGAAAATAAAATAATGAAGGTTTGTTGATAAATTCCTCGATAAATTCACAACACAGAATAATTCTGATTACGAAGGTGCTAAACGAGGTGCTAATATCTCGGCTAATATTGTTGTGTATTTATCAACACACTTTTATCATTTTATTTTCAACTTCTTTTTAGTTCGGCTATCTATAAAAGTGTGTTTCTCCCGAGGTTTCTCCAGTTTTTCAAACTACATTTCGCTCGACATTTCGTTATGAGTTGTATAAATCTCACCAATAATTATTATTGTCTCTTTTTTTCAGTATTATCAAAATGGCAGATACTGAAGAACATACATCATCGAATATTGATAATTATTTGAAATCTACCCTTCCAACATTTTTATATAATCTTATGATTATAACTGGATATAATAATGAGAAATGTCTAAGAAATTTTTCAGACAAAGATATTGAATCAATACAAGAGTTTGCAGTCAATAATCTCCGCGATATAATAGATCCATCAGAATATGCAAACTTTTATGGGCCATTCAAAAATAATATAAGTAAATTCGTTATTGCATCTGGTTACAGAAAAACGTTATTAGAAAGCATAAAAGATCTCAACATTTCCCAAGATAAAATAATCAGTGAAACACTACAAGGAAAAAGTCGAGGAAAAAGTCATGAAAAACAAAAACAACCAGTTGCTGTAGATCTTTCAAGGGAATGTGTAATCGATTTAAACAATGAAAATACAATAATTAAAAAAATACTATTGAACTATATTAGGAATAAGGCAAGAGAAGCCGAGAAGGAAAACTTGTGTATCGATGAAGATAAATTGAGGGTACAGTGTAAAATTAGTATCATTCCTCTAGAAACATTGTCATGTTCTGTATCCTGTTGTTTTTGTGAGCAAACCATTAGAATTTACAAAAAGAAAAAGGACGAAGGGAAAATGCCACGGTGGATCAATAGTAATTTCTATAATCACGTAAATAAACATTTCTTCGGAAGCGTTGACAGATCCAAAACTCAGAAGAATAATGGAAACGCGACGATTTTGAATTTTTTACATAAGTTTCAAAATCTCGACCAACATCGAGACCAACATACTTCAAGCGAGACTTCAAGCCAGCTAAAAAAAAAAACAAGGCCACGGTTCGAATTCAGAGGAAAATTTTGAGTCAAATACACTGTCTGATTCGATATTTGATGCACGAGAAGAAAGCCACGTAAACCTCGACGTAAACTCTAATGACGATGTGATTGAAACGAGTGATGAAATTCCGAATTTTTAGATCGTGGAACTGAAGAGGGCACCGGTAGTTCCACAATTTCTGTGATAAAGGTGCCAAACAAAAATTCTAAATGGACGACAAGAAGTCAAAGGAATAAAACGAAATTAGGGGTCATCCCCGAAAATCAAACTTTCATCACAGAATTCTTCCCTATTTTTGAAAAAATAAAAGAAATGTTCTCTGCCGATGACAATTTGAACACAATGATGAGCAATAGGGCAAATAAGGTAATGAATTTGAAGGGAGATATAAAAAATCAAAAGCTACTAGAATTATTTAAATCAACTGTCATCCGGAATGAATCAAATATTAATTCCAAACAGAATAGATATGATCAACACTTGAAAGAATTTTCTACATATTTATATTTGATTGGAGGAAACTTACTGTACCAAACTTTGTATTCTAATATGAACGGAGCTATGCCATCTATAACAACAGTACGAAGGCAAATTGAAAGAACGTCAAAAACTTTCAATGAGGGTGAATTCAGATTCAGAGAATTGAAACAATTTTTAGTATCCCGAAATCTTCCTCTTTGTGTCTGGATCAGTGAAGACGCTACAAAAATTATCGAACGTATTGATTACTCCCCTCGAAATAACAAGAATGTTGGATTTGTATTACCTATCAAGGAAGATGGTTTGATAAACACAGCATTTTTCAAGGTATGTATAAGTACTTATTATTATTATTCCAAACAATAAATAAACTAGAATTTCCTTTGAACTATATCAATGCACGAGCTGGTGCACGTTTCTCGGCATTATTTCCATCAATTTCCATTCACTAAACAGGAAAATACGAGGAAAAATATTTATTTTTGAAAGCATTATCCATACCTATTAGGCATATGGATAACCAACACGGATCCACAGTACCTAGGTTAACCAAATTCACATGATATCATGATGACAACTGACATTTAAATGGAACAAATACAGGTTGATCAGAATTCTGGATCTTGAACCACGCTGTATATGTTCCAATTAAATGTCAGTAAATAGTATATCGATAGTTAAGATGAAAGCCGTTTTGACCCATAATGAATATTTTCGACACATAAAAATCCTTAAGTTGGAAAATCTCGATTTTGAACACCCTATATATCTCTGTAATCATTCTCGCTAGACTCCAACTGAGATATATTGATGAAATCGACCTAGAAATCGACACTTCAGAGAGAATCTAAAACTGCAATGAAATACACGGAAATACAGGTTGTTCCTTCCTAAAACCCATAATATAATCTAGATCGATCCTATACTATAAGAGATTTTCTTCGATTGTTCAGGCTCTGTACCTAATAATGCTTTGTATTAATTTTTTTAGGCTACTTCCTACCAAGAAATAAAGCGCCAGTTCTCAGAAGAAACTGTGTCTACATATGCATACGTCATTATGGCACAACCATTACAAAACAATTGTCCCTCATTTTGCTTGAGTGTTTTTGGAACAGACAACAAATTTTCTTCTGAGCATGTTCGTAAGAGATGGCATACAATGAAGGAATATGCCCAAAAGAAATATGGCATCCACATACTAGGATTTTCATCGGATGGTGATCCACGTCTATTGAAATGTATGCGATTAGAGGCAACATTTCCTCAATCGAGTCATTTGGAACAGCAAAATGCTTCCTGGAATTGGTTTCAAGCTAATCTTGAGACAGAAAATATACCTGTTCAAGATACTGTCCATATTGGTACCAAATTCAGAAATCGTTTACTTAAACCATCGATTTACCTACCAGTAGGTAACAAAATTATTTCTTCTTCACACCTCGCCATTCTGATATCAAACATTTCCAAAGATGTCCACTTTTTAACTGGATACGATATCAATCCCGATGATAAAATGAATTTTCAATCTGTAGAGAGAATAATATCAGAAAAAGTAACAACAGCTCTACTAGATCATGTACCCAATTCAGAAGCTACTGCTTTTTATTTGAAAATTATCAGAGATATGCTGAACTGTTTTTTGATGAAAAACATGTCAATTCAGATGAGATTATATCTTGCATGGAAAGTGGTTTTTCAACTGAGAATTTGGAGAAATTGGATTTTGACAACAAATGAATTTACACTTAAAGACAATTTCATAACATTAAATAATTATATATCAGTTGAAATAAATGCTCATTCTTTGATTCTCTTAATAAGAAAATTTTCGAAATTTCAAGAAAGGTTCCCTGCTAGTATGTTTGTACCATGGTTAATGAGTAGCCAGCCTTGCGAACAATTATTTCGTTCCACAAGGTCGATGACGAGTACCTTTTCTACTATTGTTAATTTCAGCCTCCTAGAAATAATGAATCGTATTAACAAAATCCAATTTCTCCAAAATGCAGTTAACAATTTGAAGGGCACTTTTTGCTTCCCTCGTGAAGATAGCGCGCGATTGGGATCAGAAGGTGAAATTCACCAGGAAATTCCATTTGTAATTCTCAGTGATGAAGAGATAGAATCTATCGTGCTATCATCTTTACAAGATGCCAAACTGGCTATGAATGCTTTAGGTATTAGTGACATACCTGATAATTTTTTTTTAAATTTGAATTTGAGAAGCTACGACAACGAGGCCACAGAACATGAATATGAAGACGAAATGTTATCCAATCGTTCTGATGTGAATTTGTCATCTGAATTTGATGATATCGTATCTTTGGTTGAAGATGATTCAAGTAACGAAGATATTTCAGGTCTCGTATCAGGTACTCTGTCCCATCCAGAAAGCATTTTGTTGAATGACATTGAGAATATAGAGGATCATTTACAAATTAAAGATTATTCCAAAGATACCAACAAAAGCACCAACATTTTCTTCAATGATGGACCATTTTTGCGAGTCTCTTATAATGATGAAATCATGGTTGTGAGGAAGTCTACTCTTTGCTGGCTCTTCACTAAAAATCGTTCCAAGTTGTCCAGTGATCGAACAATTCGAGTACGGTCAGAGAAAAAATTAGACCCTACTGGTAGTGTTATGTCTCGGCCTATGAAATCAAATATAATTTCCATTGGAGACTGGTGTATTTTCGAAAATAATTTCAAATATAAGAAGACTGACTTCATAATTGGTTGTGTTTTGTCATTCAAATATCTTTCAAAGAAAGGAAAACAAACTGAATATGCAAAACATTTTGTAAATATTTCTGAATTGAATGTAAAATCTTCAATCGGTTGTTTGGCAAATTGGTACGATATTGAAGAAGATGGTGGTCTTTCCAATTCGACTATGAATAAATACGGTTTCTGTGATATTTCTAATTATAAAATTAGTGTACCTGAACCAAACCGAGACTGTGATAAGTTAGTGATTAAAATGGATATACTAGACCATCTTAAAACTGCTTCTTTTCGAGATTCAGACTCAGATTCAAATTCAAATTCAATTAGATTGACTGATTCTGATTCTGAAGAACTCAATGAATTCGAAGATGATAACTCTTTAGATGTAGCCCTGGATGAGACTGAAAAAATTAGATTGGAAATTTCCGCTGAAAAATATTATGGTGTGTTCTACGATCAAAGATGGTATATTGGAAGAGTTTTAAAATGCAATGAAAATGATATGTTCACTCTGAAATTTCTAAAGGAAGACCTAAGTAATTTTTATTGGCCAAAACCAGATGATGTTGATTGTGTCCAAAAGGAACAAATATTTTATGGTCCGATCAATATGCTTGGATGTGATCCACTACAAATCACAAGATATGATAGAAATAGAATTGTTAAAATATTCAAGAATTTAAAAAAGAAGGGAGTTCAGGTCTAGTTTCTGTTGAAAACATATGTTGTACCTGTATGTTGTACCTGTATGAAAGATAATTTTCTTTCTCTTAAGTTTCAGAATGATGGTTTTGTTTAGTTTTTGTCATTGTCTCGTTACCTACTGAAGGGTGTTTCAATAAGTGATAGTTTCCCGAATAGAGATTTCTCGGTTTCTAGTACATATTTTTTTTTATTTATAGGTGTTACTATACACATTTGACTCCTCTCGATCCTTTTGGTATAGGTATTTTTCGTTACTTCCAACCGATCGAGAGGAGTAAAATGTTGCATTATGAAACTGCACACTAGTAACACCTAGAAATAAAAAAAATATATGAATCAGAAGCCGAGAAATCTCTATTTGAAAAACCATTACTCATATTGAATGACCCTTTAGATGTTTTCACTTCGCTGATACATGATATAGGTATTGGAGATATTTTATTTGTTCATTCTTTAGAAGAGAATAAAGGATTGTGCTTTTTATCTACCTATATTCGTCTGCCTACTTCCTTTCCATTCCGAATATTCCTTCAAGTAGATAATGATGCTGATTGATTCGAATGTTCATGGTCTTATCCGAGGTCTTACCCATCTCTATATAATATACACAGTTTTATACAACATCAGAAGAATGTGAAATTATAACCATGAAGTGGGTGTCAGTTTTTATGAAAGAGGGGCAAAACTGAAAAATGCGAGTAATAATTCATTCAGGAAGAACGGGTACTATCAGGACATGCGGCATAATACAATAGGTAGGTACCAGGACATACGAGGAAATACCAGGAAATGGGAGGCAATACCGGGAAATGCGAGGTAATACCGGGAAATGCGAGACTCTAACGGGAAATACGGGGCAATATCAGAACATGATAGGCAATGTTGGGAAATGCGATGCAATACTGGGAAATGCGGGGAAATGCGAGGAAATATGGGTAAATAAAAGGAAATTTGAGGCAATACCAGGAAATATTTGGAAATCGAGGGTAATAAGGGGCAATATAGGGAAATGCAGGGCAATACTGAGAAATGCGGGGAAATAAAGGGAAATGGCAATATTTCGTACGTTGAATCTGCTCGTGGCAACCCCCTCGAGGTAAATAGTAATCTCACATAGTTATCATTATGAAATGTTGTCATTCCTTATTAAAATTCCTCCTGCCATTTCTGCAATACAAGCTAATACTGCTAAATAGATTGAAATAAATGTCTATACAACACACACGATCATATTTCGTCAGCATGTCAGAACAGTCCTCCCGTTTGATTGCATGAATCCAATCTTCTTGCATTATTTCAGAAATTTCATGTGTATTTCTATTAGCTCATATTGCAGAAGGAATTCCGATGAGAAAACAGATAAATCACCAAATTTCAAAAATGAAAACTATATGTGAGTGACTATACCAACAGGATTCCTTAGTTTTTTGCTGCAGTTTTTGTGCATTGTACAACAGCACAATGTGATGGCATGTGCAAAAAAATCCAACAACTACCTCCTCTCTATATCCTCCCGAGGTACGCGCGATGTTCCACGAACGTTATAGGAATTTCCTTTCGAGCGCTCCAAGAGATGAAAAACTATGCAAAACACATCACATCACTTGCGGAAGACCGCAAGAATTTAGTTTGATTTGTAAAGTCTATTGATTTTTCAAATACACGAGTTTTCGGGGATAATAAAAAAAATTGATTCTAAGGACGTATGGTATTTGTTCAAGAGAGTACCTATGTAGATAAATACGCATTTTTTGTGTTTATAGCGGAGATATTGATATTATATCGACATTTACCTATTATAAATCAGTTCTCGTTGCATACATTTTGAGGAAGCATAATAAATCTATTTCCTTCCATCACTTGAGATTTCATGATCAAAATTGAGGACGATAATTAGACATCAACAGAATATGGTGATATTATAATAATAAAAAATCAGTCACAAAATGTAGTCACTCGGATGATCACTGGAGAATGTCCTTTTTCCAAATGGTCACCATACACTGGAATTATACCCCTTCTCGAGATTTATTTTTAGATCAATTATTCTATTCTGGCCGTGAATCTTCATCGGACAAAATCAGAAAATACTGCGCCAATAAGAGTTCAATTCTTTCTTCAGGATTACATTGATTGACTTTGAAAGTCTTATATATCTACCCCCTTATTTACTCTGGACAAGTGTACAGATTGTCACATGGAGTAACTCCTCGAGTAACCCACATATTGTTAACATGATTGCTTATATTAGCTTGGTATGTATGTTCCGAGGTATGTTCAATTGTATACAGTGTGGTCATTTAAGTGTGCAACATAATACGGTAATCTTTTCAATGAATTGCACAACCAAAATATTGAAAAAGGTTCGAAGAAGAGAAATAAAGATATGTATATAGAAAAAACATCGAATTTTCACTTAGCTTTGAACGTTTCGGGAACAAATCTGCTCTCGTTTTCAACATAAAAAATGGATATTTGATTAGCATTTATTCGTATTTGTCTTGACACTTTTCAGTTTTCAGTGACAATTGGTGACGTTGACAATCAAATGAGTTACAGGATGTTTTCATTAAATAATTTTGAATTCACCATTTTCATTTTCAGATTCCAGTAGCGAATACCATGATAAAGAAAAAGAAGTTTGAAAGCTAAAAATACACGCTTTTATAAATAGCCAAACTGAAAAGTTGAAGAAAATATTATTTCACTTATTACGGAGGTGCTGATATTTTCTATGTTGTGTTTTTATGAACCCACTTTTATAATATTATTCTCTACTTTTTTCAGTTTGGCTATTTATAAAAGCGTGTTTCTTTAGTTTTTCAAACTACTATTTATTTTTAAATTTGTTTCTTATTCAATGGAAGTCTGTTGTCCACAGAACTGATAGGGCGTGTTACCATTGTATAAAGACTAGCCTTATACAATGGTTTTACCGTATCCACCTGACTACAATTAAAATAATAATATTATACAGGGTGTTTCACAGGTAAAGGGAAATATTTCAATGATAGATAGGGGTCGCTGAGGTGGTTCTGATAATACCATATTTGATTAGTCTTACAGTCTTCATAACAGAAATACAGGGTTATTTTTCGATTTCGAATAATTATTCACTCCTCCATGAGTAATAAACTATCCAGTATATTCTCCCCAAATTTGGTATAGAGCTTATACTTGGGACGTTGAATTTATGGACCTATCGGGCATAATGGAATTCCAGGTTCGGCTTCAGGAAAAATTTTCATTTATCCGATATATAAAAAAACACACTGTATTTAATAATTAACAACGTTCATCAAAAGAATCGTGAGGAGGAAAAAAACAGAATTAGATTTGATACCTACTTTTTGGTTTCCTGCCTCCAATTCTCATCGTATAACAATCATAAATAGAAAGTTGAAAGTATGTCAATTTGAAGAGTAATAACATAGATTATTTGAAACAATGTTGAAATTATATTGATTTGAAAGGATAAAGAATATGAATAAATGCTAGTGCGTAAGATACATATTTTCTGTTGTTCTGGCAGTCTCGAAACTATTCCAACTTATAAACAGAAAGTTGAATTTCAATTTAAGGAGTATTAAAATTCGAAACTAAGAGTTTACGAATACGAATTAGGAATATCATTCATTACATGCATTAATTGTATTTCATAATAGTCAATTAAATTTCAGAATAGTCACTTGCATTTCAGAAAGCGGTAATTGTATTTTTTCAGAATAGGCAATACAATATCAGAAAGCGTCAATTGTATGTTAAAATAGTCAATTGAATTTCAGAAAATGTCAATTGTATTTCAGAAAATATCAATTGAAATACAAATGACACTTTCTGAAATACAATTGACGCTTTTTGAAATACATGACGCATTTTGAAATTGAATTTACTATTCTGAAATACAATTGATGCTTCACTTTTATGTAAATAACAAGCGAAAATCATTATAAGTAATCACTGCCTATTGAAGAAAAAATAGTAGGTGTAATTCAATATTTTGTTCTAATAACGGGCCTATAGTTACTATTCAGAGACTGACAAACAACAAAGAATATCTTGCGCACTAACATTTATTTATAATTTGTATCGTTTCAATTTAACATAATTTCAACGGTATGCTTCAAAATGTTATCATTAGAATTGGTAGCAATGAATACGAGAAGTACCTAATCTAAGTAAGTTTTTCCTTATATTCAACTAGAAGATTCGGATTTCATAATTTTAATAATATTCAAATAGCCATACTTTCAACTGTTCAACTTTCTGTTCATGAGTGTTACGATGAGAATTGGTGGCGGGAAAATAAGAATTATCAAATCCAATTAAGTTTTTTCTCCTCTTCACGATTCTTTTGAGGAACTTGTTGATCATCACATACAGTTTGCATCTTTAATATTTCGAATGAAAGGGGCAATTCGCTGGGGCATTTTGGTGTACACTCGTCTTCAGTGAACATGTCGCGGTTGGACGGTATGCGCGCTTTTATTGCAGCGGTGATTCAGAGAGCTGACACCGCCCATGTGCGACATGTTCTCTGAAGACGACTGTACATGTATGTGACCTCGTATGTGACAATGCGTGGCAATGCGTGGCAATGTAAACAAAATTGGACAGCGAATTACCCCTCGTTTCAGCACTCAGAAAGTCGATGCAAACAATACAATAACCATTTCACTGCGAAGTTTACCAGGTGAACCTTATTTTGATAAATCCGAAACCAGTATTTTTCACATTGACACTTTCAGGTGCAGAATAATCCGAAAAATTATCTGGTTACTGGTGACTGGTGAGGTTGGAAGATCTTCTTCTTATTATTTCTCCATCCCAAAGGTGGACGCGATTTCTTGCTATCGGTGTATTACGTCATCAAGATTTTGCATTTCTTATTATTGTATTAACATATTTGAGATGATTTCGAATAAAAAATGGGTGCTGTAGGGTCTCAAATGAATTTTCGTTTCTATGTCGTGCTGAAATTGAAAAATCAAATTAACCATA